TGGCCTCTCCCGTTGCGGAGAGGCCACAACAGTGAGAGGCCCGCATACCGCAAAAAAAAAAAAAAAAAAAAGTAGTACTCTTCGTACTCCACCCAGTTCCTCTTTGTCATTTTTCATAACGCTAGTAATCAAAAGTTATATTTATTATGCGTCTGTTTGTTTATATTTATTAATTTATTTAATCTCCTATTATCAGAATGTAAGTTCCTTGAGGACAATTATATTATTGAATACATTCTATTCCATGTTCTATTATTCCTATGTTTTATTATTGATCATGACGTATATTATTGATCAGGTTTCTATTCTTAGTGCCAAGAGAAGTGCCCAGCATATTACTGAAATGTAATAAAATGTTCACTATACAAATGAAATTTAGGGAGATCTAAATGTCTGAGTGAAATAATATCTCATTATGCAGAGAACAACTACAATGGTCATTTTTTTATAGAGAAGGAAGACCTCAAATCCCCAAATGGAGGCAAAAGAACAGATGGGTAATAAATTCAGGGAGAATTATGTTTGACGATCCCATAAATATTTTTCTTATAAGGTGTTCTGAAATAAGTACAAGAAAGGTTAAGAGAAACTTTAACAATTTTGCTTAGTTCCAGAGTTTATAACTGATCTACGGTATCCAAAGATTATACTTTCACTAACACAAACATTCAAATGCTAATCATTGCCAAAAAAACCCACAAAAAAACAAAAAACGGTACTGGGTGATAGGTCCAAAGCTTAGGTATTGTGATTATTTACTTATAGGAGTATGTGATTAGTTAGTTATGGGAATATATAGTATCTGGGAAGCAAAATTGAAAGTGACAGCATTTTAATTACTCTGTACTCACGGTGCATGGGGTCTGCATCCATGGTTCCCCATCGATCTGCATTGGCAGAGACTTGCTAGTCCTGGGGAAAAATATTTCATTTTAAGTTTAACATGGAAATACTTGATACAACAGACTATATGTCCCATAAAAAATTATGAGACCAGGGAATGCAAATATGGTAATAACTGGGCTCTGCACTCAAGTTATCTCTTTGAAAGGAACTTCAACTTTTTTTTTTGCCACACCACGTGGCATGTGGGATCTTAGTTTCCCAACCAGGGATCAAACCCGCACCCCCTGCACTGGAAGCTCAGAGTCTTAACCACTGGACCACCAGGGAAGTCCTGGAACTTCAACTCTTCACTATTAATGAATACCATGAAAGGTGTCTTAGTTACAGGAATGTTAAGAGTTTCCTGGTAACTGTCGTGATATAAACAAAAATTCTGGATGCCAAAAGACAAATGCAGTGTTTATGTTTAATGCCACAATCAGAATTCCTACAGCCAAAAGGGCCTCCCTTGTTTTCATGCAAACCCACATTGTAAATGTGGAGGAAAAGTGTTTGACATCTCAGATTTTCCAGTATCAACACTTTCATATATATAACACCAATTATATCTGTGCTATAATCTGTGGTTTTACGTTAGGGTAAAAATAGACCTTTTCTCTACAGGTAAAATTTTGAAAAAATATTTTTTGTAAAGATTTAAATGTAATACACATATAAAATCTTACTTTATAATAATCCATTATTTAATTTATAGAAGCAATGGCAGACTTTAGTCCATGAAAGAATGTAAGTTAATGGTGCGTCAACAGTGTTTCCATTGGGTAATTTGCCTAGTAGATGCTTTGATGCTTCAGTAAATTAAACTGAGTGTGAGCCAGATTAGAGGGGGTAGAATTTGTATGTTAGAATTGTATCCACGGTCTCAACAAAAGAGAATCAAATTCCAATGGACATGGTAAGTAACAGTGAACCAAAACTTTGGAAATACTGTCATTTTCATTATTTTGAAATATATCAGCATTAATCACTGATAACTTGAGGCACAGATAAAACAAACATGGTTATCAGAGACTTGTATGGTTTTAATTAATTTGTAGTTATGCCATGTCAACCTCCTTTCTCAATTATAGAGAAAGAGCTACCTGATGACCACAGAGGAGCACTGAGCCAGCCGCCGCCCAGCACTTTTCAGTCCTGTGTATATTTGCCCCATCTCCATAGCTCCTTCCAAGCCAACCACCTCCAGCAGCTGATCACTCAGATCTGAAAGAAAACAGAAACCTTGTAAATTACAGTGCATATGCATATGTGCACAATTTCATGTCATTAGATGTTATGGAAATGAAAAATGAAAGCTACTTCACAAAGAAAGCTTCTCTGTCTTGGATACTCTACTAAAAGTAACGAAAAGATGGCCTACTTTTGAGACTCTCAGTTTAACCAGACCCTGAGGTGCTGTGGGAAAAGATGTGCTGTCAGCTTATTCTAAAACAAAACGGGAAGAATGGATTCTGAGCCAAATAATGCCAAAAAATATACCAGTAGTTTTTAACATCAACAAACTTAACGTTATTCCACATGTATATATGGAACATTTTACATCCCACATCAGACATTTGGCAGCAAATACACATTTCAATACTATAAATAAAGTATGAGGATATGCTGTCAAACATGATTTTGTTAAATTACTCGAAAAAAAGACCTTAGAGATCATGGAATTAAAGTTTCTCAATTTAAAGATAAGACTTGAGGCCCTAAATCATTGAATGAATCGTCCAAAGTCATAGGTAAACTTGAGCAGGATGTCAAGTTTTTCTTGAATTTGAAAAAAAGACATTTTTTTTTTTTTATGATAAGGAATGTGCTACCAAATTCTACTTGGGAGTAGGTTTGATAATTAGCACAATACAATCATAATTTTTTTTTTTTTTTTACCAGAGGCCAGTAAAAAGAGGCTAATAGTATTACATATTGCTTGTCGACTGTTTCTTAGTACCTGTCACTGGATTAGTCACTCTCTGTATACCACCTTACCGGCTCCCCCCGCAAAACCAGTTTAAGACAAATATGATTATTAGAATTTACAGATAGAGAAGCTAAAAATTAGAGAAGTTAATTTATTCGTATTAACATACGTAGGAAGTGACAGAGCCAAAATTTGAATCCAATCACTCTGAGGCCTAACCACAATGCTGTATTTGATAAATGAGCCGTACCAAAGAGAGAGACTTTTAAAACTTATAGGAATATTTCTCATTTAGGGAGTGAGAGTGTTCTGTGTGAGCTCCAAAGTCCCTTTTCAACCTGAAGACTTTCACTCAGTGGGAAAGCAGAGGAAGTATTCACGTCAGTAAAAGCCGACAGAGTGCGGTCTCAGCACACAGCCCCTTCGCTTACTTATCTGGCTCAGGACACCTGAACCCTTGATTTGAAGGTAAAATTCTAGATGCACATATATGATCCTTTTCTATACTGATATTTTCATGTAATCCCATGTATTTTCAAATGTCAATAAATTGTTTAATATTGTTTTAGTAGCAACAAAAGCTGGAGGGGGTGGCATAGAGTGGCACAGGGTAGGGCATGATGATTATACAGATAATAGCTAGTCGTAGCTGAGGGTGGACTTGAAGAAAAACCAGCATGTGTGTGTTGTATGTACTCCATTTTGTACAGAAAGCCCTCATTCCCCACTAATGAATCCATCTGAGCACGAAGTTGAGAGAAATAAATGATATATTTTCAGCGTTGTTCAAATGTGTGGTGAATAGCACTTTGAAATCTCAAAGTTTGCTAGGCCCACGATCTTTGGCAAATTTTATATAGGCCCTGAAAACAAAAAGTGTAACCAATCCACTGTATTTTTTTTGAAGAGAACTGACTTAAAAAAAACTATTATTTTTTAAACTTTAAGCTCTAGCTGCAGCATGAGATTTCTTCACGTGGACACGATCATTCAGCTACCAGATCAAATGTTAACAAGTCCTAATAACCGAGAACATTCACCTTGCTGTTCTAAACCCTATTTAGACTTACTTCTCATGAAACTTATTCTGTGTTTCTAGTTTAAATTTATGTTGCCAAGAACAGATGGACAAGGAATGGAAACATATTCTTTCAGCTGTAGCCGGCACTAAAATGTGCTTGGCTCTATAGCCTGGGTGTTAATATACGCATTTTTTAGATACATGTCAACCAGCAAACTGCACTGTGGCAAGCACTAAAACCCCAGATGTGTGTCTGGTGATATTTATAAAACAACAACCACCACAAAAGTGAAGTTCATATTTAGTATTACATATTTTCCACTGCTTGATTCTTAAATAGGTGAAATGTTATGCTGATTTCTGTAAGGATCTGGTTGATGGAAACTATTCTACAAGAAATGAAATACTTTCTCACACGAGAGTTAATCTGTATAAGCCCTAACTCCTCCATGAATCACAGGGATTGTCTACACCCACACCATATTGCTACTGTCTACCACCCTCCTTCTGATTTTTTTCTTTCTTTTAATTTGTCTTTGTTTTTCTCCCTGCAAAAATGCCATGAAAATCAATTCTACCATTAATAATTGGTAATGAAGACATTTCTTACAGATTTAGAAGACCTAGGCTTTCAAACTTTCATGTTCTTGCTAACACAAAGAACTGTAGAGAAATGGTGGTCTATTTACTAGCTCTGGTCAAAGTAAATAAATACCATATTCCTTCTAATTAAGTGTTCAGAAAAAAAAGAAATTCTAATTTGTGCTGCATAAACACGCCCATAAACACTTCTACATTTTTTTATACAGAAGCCTGCAACGTCTGTGTACAACTGCTGCCTCTTACATACTGTCTTTGAGGTCAGGGTCCTGACTGACTTCAGACAAAGATAATTTCTATATAATTTTGAATTCTGTTTCTACATGTGGTACCATCTAGAAACATCAAAGACTTCCTCACGTCACATTCTAGCTAAAATTTACTTTAAGTGCAGGTCCCTTGGGATGTCATAACCAACCAGATTCACCTCCTTAATTGGTCTGCTACCTGGCTATTGTTTTCATACTTAAAAGTAGGAGTAGTGAACTACAGCCCATGAACCGAATCCAGACCACTGCCTGTTTTTGTATGGCTTGCAAGAATGGTTTTTACATGTTTACAAGTGGAAAAAAAAAAATTAAATGACATACTGTGACATCTGAAGATACATTAAATTCAAATGTCACCATTCACAAATTAGTTTTTATTGGGACACAGCCACTCATTCGTTTAGGTTTTGTCTATGTCTGCTTTCACACTACAATGGTGGAAGAGAGTGGCTGCAGCAGAATCACATGGCCCAGAAAACCTGCAATATTTATTATTTGGACCTTTAGAGAGAAAGTGCCAAACTCTGCTTAAGAAAACATTAACTATATTGGGCCACTGAGTTTTTCACTTTAGTTCTGCCACTATAAATCCTAATGGCATCACAGTGAGTGGCCTGAAAGACATAATGTCCGAGCACTCATTCCTCAGTGTGTGTATTGGTGCGTAAAAAAGCTGCTCTCAACCATGGCATCTCACCACACTCATGTACTGTGAGGTTTCTTATAATCAGTTTGTTATCAATCATGTAATACCAAAGTTTCTAAATAACTCGGTTACAAAAGAAACTAGAGCAGCTTCACATTCAGCATTATGCTCAGTCATTGCATCTGCTTGGCTTTCTTGCGTGTGAAAGTAGAATCATAGGTAGGAAGGCAGAAGTTGCATCTGGGCCAGGAGATGCAGGTGAGAGCTCCCCCTGGGGGAGTCATCCGCTGAGCACTGAGAAAGCCTGACCTGATATTGGGAAGTGTGTCTATTCCAAGGAAGATAGTGCTTTTGATCAATTAATGATATGAGATATACTTCTGAAGGGGAAAAATAGTACGTTCCTGAAAGAGTTAGCATATCTTTCCAAATTGCTCCAGGGGTACAACAGAGGCAACAGAATCTGCCAAATTTGGTATTTTCATATTTAAAATAGAGAGTCTAGAAGAGGTACTTCAGAGGGAAGAAACTTAATGAAATAAGCAAAACTGGCATATAGTACAGTAAGATTCTTAACACGGGTCAGTGACTCTGAATGCAGAAGAATGTAACTTTTTCACTAACATGTAATTGAAATTAAGCACTTCTTTCAATTATAAATTTAGGCAAGAAACCATAGTCGTAGTAGAAATATCTCTGACTTTGTCACTGACAGATATCATAGATATTTCCATATCACATTACAGTTGTTGCAATATTTCAAAATTCTATTGATACTAATCTTTACTGACACCTTAATAATTATTGAGCCCCTCCTAGATTTCTAAAGGTAATTTATTAATATGGGAAAAGAATCTAAAAAGGAGTGGATATATGTATATGTATAACTGATTCACTTTGCTGTATACCACTGTAAATCAACTATACTCCAATAAAAATATTTTTAAAAGAAGCACATATATTACTAAATCAAAATCTTAACATTTCAATATAATTGATTTCCTTTGTAATCCTGCATATTTTTTTGTGAATTTAAAAACATTACTCTGAGAGTCAGTAGATTTCACCAGACTGGCAAAAAGGACTATAATTCAAAAATGATAAGAAACTCTACTTTAGAGTTTAATTTGCCTTATGACTTTGTATATCTTTTCCTGAACATTGTAAGTGCTGCATTAGCGTTACACAAGGAATCAGGGGTATGAAACGTAAAATCTGAAAGTCAGGGGTGCGGTATAGATTTGAGAACACAGGAGCAGAACAGCTAATAAATGGATAATATTTATTCATAGCTTAGGCTCTTCATTTTTGACAGTTATACCCTGATAATATGTCTCATTATGTAATTGTTTCAGACTGCCATATGTAGGGAACAGAAGAGGATGCATTACGAACACAGACTGAATGTGGGTTGTAGCATTTGGGCATTTCGTTGAATATAGTGTGTACTGAAGGGAGAGGAATGGGGTGGAGGCAGGGCAGGACATACTCCTTCATGCATGGTGTCCAGCAACATGCTGCAACACAGGGGGCAGCTATGTCCTGGGGCACACTCATTGACTCAGCAAGGACATTTTGTCATCACCTAAATTGCTAATTGTATCACCAACAATTAAGTCCTTATTTGGCCAGGGCGAGACGAAGCTAGCTATAGAGTTGTACCTTCTGATTGTGGGTAGATTATATGCCTTCCAGTGATGCTCGTTTTATCTAGCAGACATCTGAAACATGCCTGAGGATCCAGAATAAACTTTTAAA